AGGCTTGCGCTGGGGGCTAGGGCGATGGGGCGCGCGGGTCGCCCGATCATTAGTATCATATCACAGCCTCAGTAGCCTTAGACCGTCCGATGCGCACGTAGGCTGCAATCGTACGGCTTCGGGCCGGGAGGTGATCGCGACATAATTGTCCTGGCAGCTGCAGCGGTCGATGGAGAACGTGGGACTCCATCGACGGCCAAAATCCTCCAGGCTGTCGCGAGAACGGTTACTTAAAACTCTTGGCTGTAAATGGGTCGCGCGACATGGAACGGGTGGCAAACCCTAATTGGCTGGGGTAACCTAGGTACTGTATGTGAATCTTAGCCTCGGAAAGTCTGCACTCCAGATCTGCAGTCGACTCTCAACCCTCATTGGCGTGAATCTAACTTTTAAGGACAATTTCACTGTGGTTCAACTTCATTTCTCCAAATGTTACCTCTTGAGAGCTATTCCCGCCTCTAGCACTCGAGCATAGCCTCCCATGCCAATCTTGCATCGCTTCAAATGATGCCCGAAAGAGTTGATCTTCCCATGGACTATTGGAGGGAGCTTAGACATGAGCTCATTTTGAACGGGAGCACGCGGTTCTGCCTTTGTGGCCATTGTGCATCGGCTTTGATGGAAGAGAGACTCGAGTTTGGGTGGACCTCGGATGTGGAACCGCTCGTGGACTCGGACGAGGAAGAGGAGTTGTTGAGCGAAGAGTTCATCATGTAGATGCATCATCTCTCCCGAGCATTGAAGTTGGGTGAGATATATGAATGCCTCAATCTTTGTTGCTTTGATATAGATGTTGGTTGAGAAGTAGGTATCGGGAAATGCTTTTTTTCAAAGCAACAAATGCCATCTATGCTCGTAAATGCAACTAACCCGAAGAGGACGATGCATAAGTTGCTCGATGAAACGCTCTTTAAATGTGTTATTTGGTGAGCATTCCTAGCCAAATGTCTTGAGGATTGTTTATGAGTGAGAGGATAGGTTGATTGCGAGAGTCGTCACCTCCGAGATGCATTTTGTCCATCAAATTGCTATGGTAAAACTGGAAAATGCAGGTTAGTTGTAACCTGATTGCTGTGTGCTGGTTAGCCTGCTGGTTTGGGATCTGGTTCTGTGGGTTAGCATAGGGGAACTGAGGTTATGAGCTGCTGGTTAGCCTAGCTCTGAATGCTGGTTAACTGCTGGTCAATGGTTCTTGAAGCAATTTTGCTCTTGTGTTGAAAGTTCGATTGAATATGGTGGTTTCTGCCAGATGCAGGCCTGGTAGAGGGTGGAAGCTGAAGAGTAGGAGCCTCTAGTAGGTAAGAAAGCATGGGCCATATGAAAGCTTGCATGAAAACATGGTGTCTTATTGGTGGAATCTTGAATGGACCACATTGTTCAAAAAGAGCTGAGCCGTTGGTTGGCATGTTGCTTGGTAGCGTCGTTCGTTTGCATTGCCGCTGACTGGTGCTAGGGCTAGTGCCGATCAGCCTGACGATTTGCTAGCATCGTTTGCTGCTGCGGTATATTGCAGCGGTGTATTTGCAGTCATTCAAAAGCTTTGCCAACCTGCCATAGATTTAAATCAAAATCATACTTCCTTTGCAGAAGCGTTGCTCGCTGCGGGGGGTCTGGCTTGATAAGGTGAGTATTCAATGGTGCATTTTACATGCTCACAGTTTGTTTTTATTAGTTGTGACCTCTTCTCATGTGCACTAACTGGCAACTTCTCTGCTGTGACCGTTGAAGGCAACTTTGCACGCTATAACTTTCTAAGTTGCCAGCTAGCGATGCGCTGCAACCGCAAAACAATTCCGTTCTGTTATGTGACAATATATTTGTAGTTTCAAACTGCATGCTGTTCCAATTTGCAGATTGTCTGCCAGCCAACCGTCTGCAAAGCGTGCCGCCAGCCCCCAGCGATATGCCCCCAGCCAGCCCGTCAGCCAGACTGCCACCTCACCACCTCACCAGGTGGGCGACACATGTCTGCAATGCATTCTTCCTCAACAATCTGCCTCAGTCTGCCTTGCAATCTGCCTCAGCCATGCGCTTGCATCTTCTGTGCATCCTGTTCGTCTGTTCAACAATTCAACAGATAAACTTCTCTTGTGTTCGTGTTTACAAAACATGACTGTGTCTTGTTCAATTGTACTCATGTCTTTGTTTCATAGGCAACTAGACAGAATATCATGTTGCTGTGCTTTGTCTCATCATCAAATTGTTAACCAAATTATTGTTCTTTGGACAGATAGTGAGTGACTGGTTGCCACGTGCCATTCTGTCCGCCTGGTAAGCAGTGGGTCTGCAACCGTGAACGACCCCCTGCCCCCCATCGTGTCCGCTGCACCTGCAAGCCGTTTGCCCCCTGCCCCCCGCAAGCTGCCGCTCGCCCCCTGCCTGCCTGCCCCTCTGCCCCTGCCAGCTCGCCCCGCCACCCCGCCTCCCTGCCAGCCAGCTCGCTCGCCCCAGTGGGTTGCTAAGGTGAGCACCACTGCCCGAGGGGCCAACTCTGTCACTCACTTGCATGCTGTCAAAGGTTTTGTATCATTGTGTACGTCACTGTTCTGTTGAGCAAGTTGAGCAAGTGTGTGTTTGCAAGTTGAGCACTCAACGTTGCTATTGTGTGACGAGTTATGAGGTGCTTGCTTTGGCCTGGAAGTAGATTTAAGAATGATCGGACTGCACAACCAACCGAACCAACTTTCTGAAAGACAAATCGTTGTTCCAGCTCGGCAGCCACCACCCACCACCAGCAAGCGTCCCCAGCCAGCCAGCCCTCCACCTGCTATCTGCCATCTGCCACCGCTCTCCGAGGTCCCGGCCGCCAACCGCTGTTACCTATTCGTTGGCCGCCTGCCGCCACCCGCGCTGTGGATACTGTGTGTGAGGTGAGTATCAACCATTTAAGAAGGATGGTGTGTGGTTCATACAAAAGGTCTATCACCGAAAGTCACAGTCCGTCAGGAACGGGTCAACAATCGAATCGACTTTGGATGTGTAAATGCGCTGGTTCGAAAAGAGCAAAACATGGAAGCTTTTTATCATGCATTGAGGTCGTCGTAGCCCTCGGGCATGGTGCTCGAGTTTGACGGCAGGGGTGTACCCGGCAGTTGCTCGAGGATCAAAAAAAGCAGCGCAAGCTGTTGACACCTTTGTGTGGTAACTAACTTCGAAGACTTTAGAGTCGAGATCTTTCTGTCTAGAACTTTAGAGCCGGGGTGTAAAGGATTTTAACCGATCATGGGGTTAAAAGGCCTGTGGTTTTGGCTTGGGTTTGAAAACTGTGTGGCTTTGGCCTTGGCTTTTTATTCCTTAATTTGGCCTTCGACCTTTGAAAATAATGGCCTTAGACCACTGTGCGAGTTTATATGTGCCCTTCTGTGAGATGAGATTTTGTGGTAGAGCAAATACTTTGAACGGGTCACAAGTTCTGTGGACAAATGCCAACGTAGCCTTCGGGCACGGTGCTCCGTTCTCGACGGCAGGGGTGTACCCGGCAGTTGAACGACATCAAACAAAGCAGCGCAAGCTGTGTTGGCGTCCTGCGACTTTTGAGACTCTTTTCGTTATCGTTTTTCGTTCTTAAGTCGAGGTCTCCTAGCACACTCTTGCCCGACGCTAATAGTTGTCATTGCTGTATGTACAGGCACGATGCCTGAGAGGGCTGAGGTCGTCGCCATGCTTCTCCGCGTGCTGTGGCTCACCGTGTGTGGCGTCACGCGCCTTGTGCGCATCAACAACAACACGACGCGCCGGAAGAAGGACGGCAACCTCATGATGCAGAAGCAGAACTCCCGCAAGGGCTCCGACCAGAGGGTCGCCGAGTTCCTGGGCTGTGACGGCGCCGTAGTGGTTGGCGTGGAGGTCGTCGGCAACCAGCTGGCGATGTTGCTCCGGAATGCGGGTGGCGAGTTCCGGGTTCTGCGGTGGAACCTGCGGCAGGGCGGGGCGCTCGACTGGTTCGAGTACGATGACGGCCGTTTCGCCGAGTACCCTGCGAGCTCTGAGCGGCGCAACGCGGCTAACTTCGAGCTCGCCGGCCTCCACCTCCCCCCCGAGTGGAAGGGCAAGGACATCCGGCTGGTCGAGGTCGATTGCACGTCAACGCCTAACCAAGCGGAGTGGGAGCTGCGCGAAACCTTCCCAAACCTCGGCAACGTCCCCTTCTCCCCTGCCCCCGGCTGGTTCGCCCGCTACCGGGGAGTCCCCAACATGCTGCTGGACCCGAACGGCTGGGTGGAGGCGGTCGTTGCCTGCGCGCTCGTCGTCGCCGCCCGCTACCCGGACCGCCCCGTCGTCGTCTGGATCGGGCGCTCGACCGTGTGGGAGGCCACCGGCTTCAAGAGCAAGGGGGACCTGCTCATCCGCAACTTCATGGCGACAGGGCGCCCGCAGTGCCTGACCATGGGGGAGCTGGTCGCCGACGGTCCGATCGCCGTGATGCACCTGTGCTGGATCGCGTACCTTTTCCTGTACGAGGAGCTGGCGTATGCCTACTGGTAAGCCATTGCACGTGTCACCTGTGGGTGGTATGGTTTCTCGTGTGGCATATGCCCTGTCGTTGTCGTGCCTTATGTGAGACAAGCCAAAGGATGTTGCCACCTTCGCACTGCTGTCCGTCAAGGCTCCTCTGACTTTGAACGTTTCGCTCTAACAATTCACGTTGTGGTTGTCGCAGGTACGATTTGACCAAGTTCAACGCCCCCAAGATCATGAACTATGCCATCAACGTCCTGCTGGTCTTCCAGAAGAAGGACTGCGTCCAGCTGTATCATGTGAGCTCACCAAGCTTCATCGAGCTTCAGCAAACATCCAATCAATGCTTGCTTTGTGTGGACTTGCGTGTGACTTTTAGGACGAACTTCGGTTTCTAATACTGCTTCGTTTCCATGTGCGCAGCCTGGCAAGTATCGGCACGACCAATTCTGGGCGCCAAAGGCCGTGCTCGAGACGGCGGAGTGGAAGCACATGGTGAAGCACTTTGGGTGGAGGGCCAAGCCCCCGTTGGGGGCCAACGCCATCGACGGCTTCTGCGCCAAGGTCGGCGTGGGCCCCCTCGCTTGGCACCAGCACATCGACGTGGTCAACATTCCAATGGCGAACCGTGCGCTGGACCTGCTCCGGGGCCTTCGCGGGGAGGGAGGGACGGTGAAGAAGCTGCCCAAGGTGGCGGACCGGCCGGCCATCATTGCTGAGCTCGGACGGGCGCGACGGGAGGAGGAGGCACGGCGGGATGCGGCCGAGGCGACGGGGGAGTCTTCCGGGGACGAGACCGCCGACGGCCGCGCTGGGTCGGAGTCGGCCGCGGGCCCGAGCGGGAGCGGGCCGAGCGTGTCCGCGGCGGCGCCGGCGGCCGGGAAGCGCAAGAGGAGGCACAAGAACCGCAAGAACTATGGCAACCGGCTAGAGAGGATCCATGCGTCGTACACGAACGGCACTTGGTGGCAGCGTGCGCTCGACATAATGAGCGCGCTAGACAGGGACGGGTTGGGTGGGATGTTGCCGGATAAGAAGTTCGAGCTAGCGTTGTCGCACATGCAGAAGAGTTGAATAACACATTGAATTGCAACATCCTGTTATATCGTGATTGTTTCAATTCAAGCCCTCGGGCGCGGTACTCTAACTTCGACGGCAGGGGTGTACCCGGCAGTTGGTTAGACTCCAAAGCATGCGGCGCGAGCTGTAACGTGGCCCATTGCATTCGAAAGTTCGTTGATTCGAGATAATTGTTTGAGGCTTGCTTCTCTTGATCAAATTGCCGTTGAAGCCTTCGGGCGCGGTGCTCCGAGTTTGACGGCAGGGGTGTACCCGGCAGTTGCTCGGCCATCAACGAAAGCAGCGGAAGCTGTCTTGGCATTGATCTTTGAGCGGCAAACGTAGCGCTACCTAAGTGTTTCATTGTGATCAAATAGCAAAGGTATAGAGCTCGTTGAACATACACTCATTGAGCGCTTGCAAAGCATCACATTACGCAAAAACGGCCTAGTTTTTCAATGTACAATCGCACACATATGTTCCCAATGTTAGCGACTTTTGTCTAGGCGCTCTAATAATCGTTCAGTTTCATACCCCTACTGTCTTCGCTATGCAACCAAAACCATCATTATGCGACAAATGATGCATGTCTTATATCGTCTTACGACTACCAAACTTGCCACGGATAGTCGCCCACCATCTCCTGCATCCTGTGGGCTTGCCAAAGCACCAATTATATCCCTTCTTAGACGTAGCATCGTGCATCTCTATGTACGACTCCTCGACCGAATTTGCCTCCTGCTTGCTAAGCCCCTCCTGTAGGACCGTCAAATGGAAGAATTCTTTGAAAGGAGCGAATTTCTCCGCATCCTTCCGCATCCTAAAAGGAGGACTCTTCGAGTGCGCCCTGAACCTAGCCTTAGGATCCTTGGACTGGCCGATGTACACCCGGCCGTTCACCACGTTCTTGATCATGTAGACGCTGGTGCCATGTAGTCAATCCGCCTTGGACGCCTTCTTGGAGCCGGCCGCCTTCTTGCCGCCGGCCGGCTTCTTGGCGCTTCTGCAGGGAGAAACAAAGTCGTTTCAGAACTACGTCATGCGATCGAGCGTCTAATCACCAATCAGACAAAGTCCACATTTATTAATCAGGTGTTGAGATCAAACATGTCCTGTTCAATTCGATCGGTCAACACGAAGGCCAAAAAACATCCGAAGTGTGCTCGACACAAAGTACCGCCACACGATTGCTTCACAATGGTGCCACATGCAGAAGAGCCCGGACCGGAACTCACCCCATGGTCAGCTGGGACAGGGTCAGGTCGTCGTCGATGGGATCGTCGTCCAGCGCCGCCAGGTTCTCGGCGACGCTCCCGCCAATGTCGAAGTCGGCCGCGTCGCCCATGTCATCAGCGAAGTAGTCCTCGTCGGGCTCGTCGTCAAAGTTCCTGCAAGCCAACAAC